GAGTGGGTGTGCTAGCAACTCTAAGAGTGCCCCAGAATGAACAAATGTGTAAATGTTTTGACTGCAGAAAATGTTGACTGAATGTCTGCCACCTGCTATGCTTTGCAGTGCTTTTCTTTGGGGGACTCTCTCCAGCTTCACTGCATCCCTCTGCAGAGGCTGGCTGCTCCCCTGACTTGGTGGAGTCTGCTGGGATTCTGGTCTGGGGGTGCCCATGGAGGTTCGGCTCACCTCCTCTCCACTTGGACTTCCCTGCCATGCCTAATGCTGTGAGGTACAGAGTTGAGACAGCTCGGATCGGCTGAATCAAACTTCTACTTTCTTCAGGGTTGAATGTTGACAGATACAAGGAGCGGCAGGAGGGAGGGGTGGGGTGGGGTGACAACCGCCTGTGTGACAGTGTGCTGCCATGTAGGTTTGCTCAGCAGGGTGCTGCTGGCTGGCAGAAAGCTCCTGGGATCCCTGGGAATGCACCCAGCACCCAGAAGCTGGGCTCTGCGAGGTGCCTTTGGTACAAAGGTGCTGCCCTCCATGTTTCTGAGAAGCTCCAGGTGCATGTGAAATGGAGCCCTCACCTCCTGTGGGGGGCTGCAGGGGGCTGGCTGAGTCCCACGAAGGTCACTTTCTCTCTGACACAACCCACTCACTAAGGGCTTGAACTTAGCAGAATGGCTTTTTGGTAAGTGATGGTTCCTACATTTCTTGTCTGCTCACTCACTCCTCTGCAGGCTGAGTCCTGTCCTCAGCCCCAGTGCCCGGAGAAGGGCCCTGGGAAGCGGCTCACAGCTGGCAGTGTGGCTGGCTTTGACATTCTGGGCACTTCATGGAAATTCACGAGTCATCTGACACAAGCTGTGGAGAATAAACACTACCAGACACTGGCTCTTTATTATTATGAATGACAAAGAGTTGTTTATGAATACCATACAGTTACACTCATTGTTCCACAGCTTAGACATGGAAAACTGAGTCATTCCAAGACATTAAAGAAAGATCACAGCAGCGTAATGTGTTAGGACTCAGGGCTTTGGCAATGTAATGCCTCACTATAAACCAGCTCCTGGACATGCCCTGTGGAGTGGCGTGTGGACCGAGAGCATTGCTTGGTGGGCTAATGCCCCGTAAGGGGCAGTGACCAGAGCCGGCGGACAAATCCAGGCAGGCTCTGGGCACACCAAGGAAAACCCCGGGCAGTGCTCGGTGACCAGGGGCACGCTTACTGGGTTTGGTGACAGCAGCGCTGGAAAAACATTGTTTCTTCTGCTAGGTTAACTTTGTAAAACTGCAAAATGCCAAGTAAGTGGCCTAAAAAGAGCTCAGTGCAATGAAACATCAAGTTAAATGCCCTGCACCCTCCAGCTATATCCCAATGCTCTCATTTCTTTTCTTTTTCTTTGAAAGAAAGATTGATTATTTGTGTCCCGGTGTGTGAGAGGGGGGAAATGGGGAGAGCGTGATGCATAAACAGCCAGCCTTGAGAACAAGACAGGGCTGGTTTCTCAGCTGTAAGAACATGACAGCCACTTCTGTGGCTGGTTACAGGGAGGGAAGTACCTTTTCACAAGTGCCCAGGGTCCCACCCGTTCGGTGTTTCCCAATGTGTGAGAGCAACAGCCATTCTGTCTTGCTAACAGGCACTGAGCACAATAATGGTTTTGTGTCAAAGAAGTCGGGAAATGTTGAGGGGCCCCGGTGAGTGACAGGACCTTGCTGTCCATCTCCTCCAGTGTGGGGCGGGCTAACGCGGAATGCAGAGCTGTCCGGTCCAGGGAGCCGCGGCTTGCCCAGCATGGCCTGGCAGACACGGTGAAAGGCTTTTCCAGGCTTTTCTTGGGTGACCAGCGGGGAGGAGACCAGATGGGGCCTGGGCCTGGTGGCTGCTGCACTCACAGTACCAGAAAAGATGCAGTGGGAAGGTCAGAGGACTTCCTTCCCATAGCAGGGGAGGATCTGCACCCTCAGGACCCCTGCCAGTGCCCAGGGGAAGCAGCAGCCGTGCTGAGCAGGAGACCCCAGCGCTACCTTTCCCTAGCTACGGGAATCCGGGAAAGCAAAATGTCATTCTGGTTCTTACAAGATGCTCCTTTCCTCTGAAGGACGAGAAGGTGTTTATGGGCAGTACTGAAGTCCCCTCTGAGCCTTGGAAGGATGCGCCCAGGTCATGGCCTGAGTCAGGTGAGGGATAAAGCATCTCACCTGACTGCTGGCAATAAGCCCTCGGGTTTCTGCCCCCACTGGGGTGGAGGCTGGGAGGTCAGCCTGCTTCCTGAGCCACTGCACAGCTGTCCACCGTGTGCCCCCTGCATGGGGCAGAGTGGCTCCACTGCCATTTCTAGGCTATGGCCCAGGCTCTGCACCAGCATTCACCCCCGTCTGTGGGCTGGTGGGCATGTCATCTGCAAGGTGTGGATGGAGGCCAAGTGTGCAGGGCTCGCCGGGTCCCGGCTCGAGACAGGGCCACCTGCTCGTCTCTGCATTCCCTCCCTGATCCTACTGCTGCCAGAGCCTGGGACCATCCCATCTCAGCGGTTCAGCTTGGCTCACCGAGGGAGCATGACCAAGGCTCCTCCTGGCCTCTGCTTCCTGCAGCAGGGGCCTCAGTGGGCCAGGAGGGGGCAGGTGCAGGAGAGTCTATGCTGGGCCAGGCCTGAGTGGGGGAGGTGACCTTGGCCACCAGTGCTTGTCCCCAGCAGGACGCCTGCCCCACACTGCATTGATGTGGCCATATGGAATAAGGTTCAATGTGTGTGTGTATGTGCAGGTGGGGATATGTGTGTTGGGGGTGCATACGTGAGTATGTATGTGTGTGTGATTTGTGTGTATGTGCTGTGGAATGCGTGGTGTGCATGCACACGTGAGTGTGTGAGTGTGTGTGTATAACTTCCTTGCAAACAGGAGGTGACAGGGGCCCTGGAATCCATTCCTCAGCAATCCCAGTGCTCCACAAGCTATAGCCTCATATGCAGGGAAAGCTCACAATCCACTCCCCACTTTAGCCCCTTCCGGGTTTCTGAATCTCGTCAGTTTACCTCCATAGGGGTACAGTGTGGGCTGTCAGGCTTTCGCTGGGCAATCCCCACCCTGAGCAGAGGATGGCAGCCACCAGGCACCCCTCTGCCAGGCCTGCTCCTGACATGCAAGAGCTCCCAAGCCTGCTCCCAGGGGTCTGAGCCCATCCTTTCTGTTAAGACACAGTTAGGGACTTAGCATTTTGTTAGGAAACGTGCTCTGCAACTTACAATGCTGGTTAACACTTTTGACAGTGTAGTCTATCATATTCTAATAACATCCACGAAAATCATCACAAAGCTTATTTCAAATCTGTATTAAAGATCAGTTAAAAGAAGTCCAGTGTTGAAAGTTACCTCTTCTGAAATGGGTGGAGCATGCTGCTCAACCGGCCGGCGTACTCTGGGGCTGTGGGCCTGAAAATCTGGTGGCCGCATGTGCATATGAAAACCCTTGGGCTGGTGGAAATGTGAGGTGGCCATCCAAAAGATAAAGGCAAGGCTGGGGACAGCAGGTGCAGAGAAAGGACATGCTCAAATGAAAAACACACAATTATTTTACCTGTGGAGTGTATTATGTGGGCTCTGCTATAGAAACACTGGGTCCTACTGGGGTGCAAGGTGTTTGTGACACCAGCAGTCAACTGGTGAGGCTGGGGTGGCCTGTATATCCTCAAGGCCCTTTTGTTCCCAGTGAACAAGGACTGGAGGGTGCATGAAGGCACAGGGGGTGAGCCCAGGCCTAGACAGACATGGTTAGGACCAGCAGAAGGACAGCACACGTGTGGGAATGTCACCCAGGCCACGTGCCTGGTAGGCAGTCCTTACTTCCCAAATGGAGCTCAACCACATTATCAATCTTTCTTCACTTAAGTGGCCCCCCACACCCTCCTCTGTGGCCCCAGGGGAGAGTCACTGGTGTCCACAGGATAGGGCTAGACAATAGACAGGACTCGTGCCCTGGACCACTGTGTGAACGTATACCCAGACCTCTCTCCCCAGCAGGAGGGCATGGAGGTGGGAGGCGGAGCGGCTCCACTCACATTCCAGATGCTCTCCATCCCCAGTTCCTGGTGGGGGAAGGGGAGGGCACTGTGGAGCTGAAAGAGCTCTGTGTGTCTACTGTGTGCATGCCATCTGCCTCCTGTGATGGTGTGGCTTTGCTGAGGACACAGTCTGGGGCGGAGAAGGAAGACCTCTGCCGTCTGGGCACGAGCTCTTGCTGAGATGTCACCACCACTCCACCCAACCCACCCTTTATGATTCTAAGTGTACATATGGAAGAGACGCTATCATGCATCTTTTTAATGTCAGGGGCTCTGCTTGTGTATAGTGTTTTGCATGGCTGCTCAGCATGCAGGGACCCTCACTAACAAAATGACTGAACCCCAGGCAGCTGACTCACAAAAGCCTGGGTGGCTTCTAAAATCATCTCCACACATGTTGCACCAGTGAACCGTGTCTTCTGGCTAAGCAAGGGTGCCGACTTTCACTTGCCTCTGTGTCCCCCTCAGGAGTAGAGACAGCGCTCCCATCCACAGGCTGGATGTCCACCTAAAATGTCTCAGGTGCAGCTGAAGACTAGACAGTGAATTTGTGTCCAACTGACCTAGGAAGGATAGCTGTCTCCTGCAGGGCCATGGAAAACTGCTATCAGTGGGCTGATGACTTGTCTAATCAAACACTTATCAAGGACTAACTTAGACCAGGAGACTAGGAAAGGATTCCCGAGTCTTGTATCTTCAACCCCGAGTCACATTCAGCGAGGCCTACCTGCAGAGGGTCAGGCTCTGTGGCTTTATTATGAATTAATACTTTTTTTAGAAACTCATTTGTAGGTGGCTTTGGCCACCAGCTTGTCCCCCACTAGGGACACAGAAAAAGTCAGGGCATCCTGGTGACACCTTCTCTCTAGGGTAGAGGAAGTTGGGCTGCCTAAGTGGACTATGTGCAGCCGTGCCTGGCGGGACCTGAGATGACAGACATCCTCTCCCCCACATGATCTCCACAAACTTTATTTACTAGTCCCCACGTGCAGACCCCAGAGAGTCCATGGGAGCAGCACCAGGAGGAGCGTCAGCCAAGCTGGCCCATCCCCAGAGGCTCCTCACACGCAGACAGAGTCTTCTGCCTCAGACACACAGAGCAAACGCAGAATCCAGACTTTTCCCATCACTGGCTACATGCTGAGAAACGGCAGTGGTCCAGCGTGGCTGCTTTTGAAGCCTCAAATGGTTTTGTGGTCAGGAAAGCCTCTCAGGGTAGGGCTCAGTCCTGTGGCCGTGCTGTCAAGTTCTGGAGGCAGCGCCACCCGCCCAGGCCCAGCATCCCCTCCTCTGCAGGGGCTCAGGCTCACAGCCTTTGGGCCACTGCCAACACCTGGGTGGGCGAGGCCACCACCTCACACGATGTGCAGGGCCAGAGGGCTGGAAGGCACATCGGGACTCTGGAAACAGACCCTGGAAAGACCCCACCATGAAAACCACAGGCAGCATTTCTATCAGTGCTCAGATCCGGGTGTGCATCTTTCTTCCTGAGGCTCTTCTGACACGGGTTTGCTGTGCACAGGCTGGATTTCAGGACAGGCCTAGGGAGCAACAGCCAGGGGCATGTTCCACCTAGGTCAGTTCTTCTGCCAGGCCAAGGGAGGTGGAGACTCAAAATCGACACGCTGGGCCATGTCTCCCTGCGGCTGCCCTTCTGTTCACAGGCGGCCACAGACAGGCGTGGGGCACTTAGTTGACCACATCGTAGTAGTAATTGCGCAGCTTCAGTTCCACCGCTACGAATCCTGGCCTGTTCTCCACCCTGGGAGGGAAGAGGTGTGTTACTGTTTTGTCCCTGCCCTTGGGAAAAGCCCATCCCAGCTGGGTGGCAGCCTTGCAGATGGCTGCACCCCCAGGTGGCCTCCTCCAGAGCTCCTGCATGCCCCAGCACCCTGCTTGGGGACCATGAGCCTGTGCAGAACATGGTGCCAGGTCGACCACAGACCCACAGAACCCTCCTGCACCCTGTAAGATCCCGCAGTGGCCCATGTCCACCTTAAAGGTGCAGACAGTTTGTTCCAACTGGGGTCTTTTGCCCCTAGGTTCACAGACTGGCCCTCAGAACATCTTGTAAGGCTTTCTTAGGACTCCCTCCTTTACACCACAGAGAGGCTGCCGCTAGGGAGCCACGACAATGCTGAGCCTCAGCAGAAGGGGGTGGGCAAGTGTCCTGCCGGGTGTGGCTTCCTGTGGGCCCCTTGCTACCTGTGTCTGCCTCCCTGGCGTGGGTTGTTCTTTCCACTCTGGACCTTGTGCTGGCAGCCCCCTCCTTTCCTGCACCAAGCCCATCATCCTGCAGTTCTGGGGATGCCACTCCCTAAAGGAGGCAACATGGATCCTAAGGGACTTCTGCAGCCTCACTCAGAGCTCCCATGATTTGCTCTGCAGTAGCTATCAGGTGTGATAATGTGTTTATGTGGGTTGATTTGTTGCACATTTGCCTAGCAACAGCCAGCCCAGCCTGCAACCTCCAAGAGGTGTGTGCTCAACCCCTGGTTGGCAGTCAGTGGAGTGTGCCTGTGATAAATCTCAAAGTGCAGGAGAGGGGATTAAAGTTGGCAGCATGAGAGGTGAGACAGAGGCTTCCTCCTAAAACCGCATATATTATGAAAATATAATTAATACAACTAATCCTGAGAGAGCAACAGGAAAGAGGACTGCACCAGACCGCATACACCTGGAGAAAAGAGGAGACCTCACCGAATGGGGTAACATACCAAAGCTGTGGCCCAGCGGGACCCAAGCCCTTCCCCCAACCCAGCTCACCAGTGGGAGGAAGAGAAATGGAGTGGGAGAGGGAGTGGAGGCCTGGGACTGCTGAATACTTAACTCCAGAGATCTGCTCTGGGAGCACAAACCTACATTTCATGGTGCTTTCATGATAGTCTCATGATTACGGGGTTGGAAAGCTAAGACAGGCAGAATTCCTGGAGAGACTGAGATTCCAGCTGCTTGTGGAAAGCAGGGATCCATATCCAGCTGCTCTGGGACAAAAGCTTATACCTTTGTGCTCAGCCCACTGGTTCAGGCAGTGGAGACAGGCACAGCAGCTGGGAAGTGGGGAACAGCTCTTTCCTCCCCACAGGCATCAATCCCACTCCCCGTGACCCCTGACATTGCTTCAGGGGCTGAGCAGCTCCAGAGAGTAGAGCTTCTAGACACTAGAGGGCGCCATATACAAACATGAAACGCCAAAGGAACCTGGTACAGAGTGAAATTAATATAACCCCTGAGAAAGATGACATGGATCTCATGACTCTTCCTGAAAGGGAGTTCAAAATAAAAATCATTAACATGCTAATGGAGGTATGGAAAAACATTCAAGAACTCAGGAATGAATTCCAGTCGGAGATCCAATCGTTGAAGAGCACGATGGAGGGTATTAAAAGCAGGTTGGATACAGTGGAGGAGATGATAAATGAAATAGAAACTAGAGAAGAGGAATACAAAGAAGATGAAGCACAGAGAGAAAAAAGGATCTCTAAGAATGAAAGAATATTGAGAGAACTGTGTGACCAATCCAAATGGAATAATATTCTCATTATAGGGCTACCAGAAGAAGAAGAGAGAGAGAAAGGGATAGAAAGTGTCTTTGAGGAGGTAATTGCTGAAAACTTCCCCAATCTGGGGAAGGAGATAGTCTCTCAGGCCATGGAGATCCACAGATCTCCCAACACAAGGAACCCAAGGAAGACAACACCAAGACACATAGTAATTAAAATGGCAAAGATCAAGGATAAGGACAGACTGTTAAAAGCAGCCAGAGAGAGAAATAAGATCACATACAAAGGAAAGCCCATCAGGCTAACATCAGACATCTCAGCAGAAAGCTAACAGGCCAGAAGGGAGTGGCATGATGTATTTAATGCAATGAAGCAGAAGGACCTTGAAACAAGATTATTTTATCCGGCAAGATTATCATTTACATTTGAAGGAGGGATTAAACAATTTCCAGATAAGCAAAAGCTGAGAGAGTTTATGTCCCACAAACCATCTCTACAGTCTATTTTGGAGGGACTGCTATAGATGGAAGTATTCCTAAGGTTTAATAGCTGTCACCAGAGGTAATAAAACCACAGTAAAGAAAGTAGAACAGCTAATTACTAAGCAAATGCAAAATTAAATTAACTATCCCCAAAGTCAATCAAGGGATAGACAAAGAGTACAGAATATGATACCTAATATAATAAAGAATGGAGGAGGAAGAAAAAGGAGGAGAAAAAGAAAAGAACCCTTAGATTATGTTTGTAGTAGCATATTAAGTGAGTTAAGTTAGACCTTAGATAGTAAGGAAGTTACCCTTGAACCTTTGGTAACCACAAATCTAAACTCTGCAATGGCAATAAGTACATACCTATCAATAATCACCCTAAATGTAAATGGACTGAATGCACCAATGAAAAGACACAGAGTCACTGAATGGATTAAAAAACAAGACCCATCTATATGCTGCCTACAAGAGACTCACTTTAAACCCAAAGACATACACAGACTAAAAATGAAGGGATGGAAAAAGGTATTTCATGCAACTAATAGAAAAAAGCAGGAGTTGCAGTACTTGTATCAGACAAAATAGACTTCAAAACAAAGAAAGTCACAAGAGACAAAGAAGGACATTACATAATGATAAAGGGGTCAATCCAACAAGAAGATTTAACTATTATAAATATCTATGCTCCCAACACAGGAGCACCTACATATGTGAAACAAATACTAACTGAATTAAAAGGGGATATAGAATGCAATGCACTCATTCTAGGAGACTTCAACACTCTACTCACTCTGAAGGACAGATCCACCAGACAGAAAATGAGTAAGGAGCCAGAGGCACTGAATAATACATTAGAACAGATGGACCTAACAGACATCTACAGAACTCTACACCCAAAAGCAGCAGAATACACATTCTTCTCAAGTGCACATGGGACATTTTCAAGAATAGATCATATACTAGACCACAAAAAGAGCCTCCGTAAATTCAAAAAGATTGAAATTGTACCAACCAGTTTCTCAGACCACAAAGGTATGAAACTAGAAATAAATTATGCAAAGAAAATGAAAAATCCCACAAACACATGGAGGCTTCACAACATACTCTTAAATAACCAATGGATCAATGACCAAATTAAAACAGAGATCAAGCAATATATGGAGACAAATGAGAACAATAATTCAACACTGCAAAATCTGTGGGACGCAGTCAAGGCTGTGCTAAGAGGAAAGTATATTGCAATACAGGCCTACCTCAGGAAAGAAGAACAATCCCATATAAGCAGTCTAAATTTACAATTAATGAAACTAGAAAAAGAAGAACAAATGAGGCCCAAAGTCAGTAGAAGAAGGGACATAATAAAGATTAGAGCAAAAATAAATAAAATCAAGAAGAATAAAACAATACAAATAATCAGTGAAAGCAAGAGCAGGTTATTCAAGAAAATAAACAAAATAGATAAACCCCTAGCCATACTTAGCAAGAAAAAAAGAGAGTCTATATACATAAACAGAATCAGAAATGAGAAAGGAAAAATCACTATGGACACCATAGAAATACAAAGAATTATTAAAGAATACTATGAAAAATTATATGCTAACAAACTGGATAACCTAGAAGAAATGGACAACTTTCTAGAAAAATACAACCTTCCAAGGCTGACCCAGGAAGAAACAGAAAATCTGAACAGACCAACTACCAGCAATGAAATTGAACTGGTAATCAAAAACCTACCTAAGAACAAAATCCCTGGACCAGATGGCTTCACCACTGAATTTTATCAAACATTTAGTGAAGACCTAATACACATCCTCCTCAAAGTTTTCCAAAGAGTAGAAGAAGAGGGAATACTTTCAAACTCATTCTATGAGACCAGCATCACTCTAGTATCAAAATCAGGCAACAACACCACAAAAAAAGAAAATTACAGACCAATATCCCTGATGAACATAGATGCAAAAATACTCAACAAAATATTAGCAAACTGAATTCAAAAATACATCAAAAAGATCATCCATCATGATCAAGTAGGATTTATTCCAGGGATGCAAGGATGGTACAACATTAAAAAATCCATAAACATCATTCACCATATCAACAAAAAGAAGGACAAAAACCACAAGATTATCTTCATAGATGCTGAAAAAGCATTTGACAAAATTCAACATCCATTCATGATAAAAACTCTCAACAAAATGGGTATAGAGGGCAAGTACCTCAGCATAATAAGGGCCATATATGACAAACCCACAGCCAACATCATACATAACAGGGAGAAGCTGAAAGCTTTTCCTTTAAGATTGGGAACAAGAGAAGGATGCCCACTTTCCCTACTTCTATTCAACATAGTACTAGAGGTCCTAGCCATGGCAATCAGAAAACATGAAGAAAAAAGCCATCCAGATTGGCAAGGAAGAAGTTAAACTGTCCCTGTTTGCAGATGACATGATATTGTACATAAAAAAGCCCTAAAGAATCCACTCCAAAACTCCTAGATTTAATATCTATATTCATCAAAGTTGCAGGATACAAAATTAATACACAGAAATCATGCCATTCTCATACACTAACAATGAACTAGCAGAGAGAGAAATCAGGAAAACAATTCTATTCACAGTTGCATCAAAAAGAATACCTAGGAATAAACCTCACCAAGGAAGTGAAAGACCTATACCCTGAAAACTAAAAGACACTCTTAAGAGAAATTAAAGAAAATACCAATAATTGGAAACATCCCATGCTCATGGATAGGACGAATTAATATTGTCAAAATTGCCATCTTGCCTAAGCAATCTATAGATTCAATGCAATTCCTATCAAAATACCAACAGCATTCTTCAATGAACTAGAGAAAATTGTTCTAAAATTCATATGGAACCACAAAAGACCTCGAATAGCCAAAGCAATTCTGAGAAGGAAGAATAAAGTGGGGAGCATTATGCTCTACCACAAAGCCACAGTAATCAAGACAATTTGGTACTGGCACAAGAACAGACCCATAGACCAATGGGACAGACTAGATAGCCCTGATATAAACCCAACCATATATGGTCAATTAATATACAATAAAGGATCCATGGATATACAACGGGGAAACAACAGCCTCTTCAACAGATGGTGTTGGCAAAAATGGACAGCTACATGCAAGAGAATGAAACTGGATTATTGTTTAACCTCATACACAAAAGTAAACTAGAAATAGATTAAAGACTTGAATGTAAGTCAAGAAACCATAAAACTCTTAGAAGACAGCATAGGCAAACATCTCCTGAATATAAGCATGAGCAACTTCTTCCTGAATGCATCTCCTCGAGCAAGGGAAACAAAAGCAAAAATGAACTCATGGGACTACATCAAACTAAAAAATTTCTGTACGGCAAAGGACACCATCAACAGAACAAAAAGGCATCCTACAGTATGGGAGAATATATTCATAAATGACATATCCAATAAAGGGTTGACAAATGTTGGCGAGGATGTGGAGAAAGGGGAACCCTCCTACACTGCTGGTGGGAATGTAAATTAAGTCATCTATTGTGGAAAGCAGTATGGAGGTTCCTCAAAACCTCAAAATAGAAACACCATTTGACCCAGGAAATCCACTCCCAGGAATTTACCCTAAGAATGCAGGAGCCCAGTTTGAAAAAGACATATGCACCCCTATGTTTATTGCAGCACTATTTACAATAGCTCAGAAATGGAAGTAACCTAAGTGTCCATCAGTAGATGAATGGATAAAGATGTGGTTCATGTACACAATGGAATATTATTCAGCCATAAGAAGAAAACATTTGCAACAATATGGATGAAGCAAGAGGGTATTATGCTCAGTGAAATAAGCCAGGTGGAGAAACACAAGTATCAAATGATTTCACTCATCTGTGGAGTATAAGAACAAAGAAAAAACTGAGGGAACAAAACAGCAGCAGACTCACAGAACCCAAGAATGGACTAACAGTTACCAAAGGGAAAGGGACTAGGGAGCATGTGTGGGAAGGGAGGGAGGGAGAAGGGGAATAAGGGCCATTACGATTAGCACACATAATGTAGCAGTGGGGGGATACAGGGTAGGCAGTATAACACAGAGAAAACGACTAGTGATTCTATATCATGTTTCTACACTCATGGACAGTGACTGTAATGGGGTATGTGGTGGGGATTTGATGATGGGGGGAGTCTAGTAACCATAATGTTGCTCATGTAATTGTACATTAATGATATCAAATAACAAAACAATCCAGGTGTGGTAAAGAGCTGCTAGTTCTAATTTTAGGTGTGCGCTGTCACCACTATTTCTGTTCAACTGATAGTGAAATCCTGTGGCTGGTTCCTAGCTATGGACGTGGGGCTCACAGAAAGCCCTCCTGCAGCTGGGGGTGACGTCAGCTGGGCTAAGGCACCTTGGCCTGTAAGTGTACTTGGACTGTACCCGAAAGCTCCAGGTGGGAAAGTGCTTAGAGAGGGTATGTACTCAGCTCCCAGCTCCAGAGAAGAGCCAGAGGAACTGATTTCCCTCCGTGTCTTCCCTGTGGACCACCCTGGCAGTAACAGCACAAGGGGCCATGTGTGTCCAGGGGACCCAGACAGGCAGAGTAGCTCCTGATTCTCTCAGTAACAAGCAGATCTGCCCAGGAGCTAAGCACATCTGGCAGCTCACCACACCCCGTGAGGCCAAGTGGGCTGTGACCTGGCTGCATCACCCCTTCCCCTGGTTCACCCTGCCTGCAGGCCACATCTGCCAGCACCCTGTCCCTGCCCAGAGCTCTCTCCCCTGCCTGCCCTTCCACTCCTCACTGGTAAACACAACGAACAGCCTGCAGAAATAGCTTCAGCGCTAACATTAAAGACAAAAACGTTGATTAACTATCTCCCTGACAGTTCACTTGGATTCCAGATTTTCATTTGTTGAAGTATGATTTAAAGTTCCTGTTCCCTGCAGAAGCGAAACCATTCAAAGGAAGTTGATGGCAGGGCAGGAGAAAATTTGTAGCAAATGCTCACAGGCTTACGTGCCCTGGCGAGGTAGGGGTGGGCACCATGCTCCAGTCACTGCTGCTGGCGTCACTTGACCCAGCATCCTCAGGTAGGAGAAGTCACTTAGACCACAGGCCCAGAGCAAGGCACACTGAGGGCAGGCACCATGAGCTCCCAGCTCCCCGCCAGTCCTCAGGGCCTGCCGGTCCCCGGGCCCTGGGGAACATGGTGCCTACTGAAAGCGGGAAAAGCCTGCCCTGTTCCCAGTGGCTTTACGGGTCCTTAGAAGCTGTGTTGCCAGGAGAAGCTTAATGGCTGCACACATTTATGGGATTCTTGCAAAGTCTCAGAGCGGGTGCCTTTCAGAGATACCTGGCAGTGGACTCTCAGCAGAGGTATGGCAGCAATAATGCCAAGGCCTGTAGCATCGTCTTGGGGGTAATTTGTCTTCTTTATCCTATGAGCCCCACCCCCACCCCACCCTGTCACAGCTAACTGCCAACTGCAATTTTGGAAATGGCTAGGGCCCACGTGTCAGGGGTTCGAACAGCACTAGTCTGGGCATAGTTCAAGGACCAGACAGCCCTCCCCACCTCAGATCTACTCCTAGCATTTCTAGGATGAAAGGTGACCAGGAATTAGGACAGCATGTCACTCTGCTGCTGAGCTCCTCCGCCACCCTCTGTTGTCAGAAATGGTACACAGCTCCAGACGAGACTCTTACAAACATCTTTTAGACCACACCTACCTCTGGCTGGTATGCTCTACATTTAAATCTTGATACCCTGGATTAGAGTAATTATGTAAACTAATTCTAGACTGAAGAATACAAGTGCATGGTCCAGGGAGCAAGACCTTTTTCCCATTGTTCAGTTAGCAGGGCGCACATCCTGGCTCTGTGACACAACTGATGCTGACAGCTTCTTTTTAGTGCCCAGCCACTCCCTCTGCCTCCAGAATGTGGCAAAAAGTCACAAGTGTTGGGTACTCACTCATACGTCCAGCAGAGCTTCATCAGCTCGTACATCTCTCTCGGACAGCCCTGGGGGCACCCCATCCTCTCTCCTTTCTCCAGCATGGCAGACACTTCACTTCCTTTCATTCCCTAAAACATGCAAAATGCACCTGAGCTTTTTCAACACAGCATTCAGCAAAGCAAAACAAACAAGTCCCACCCCCCTAAAGAAACAAGAGTACATGTGGAGGATTTCCATTTGAAAAGTACAAAAACAGGAGCTCCTAACCCATGGCCTAGAAGGCTGGTGAGGTTTCCCCTGCTGGGAGGCTGGTGTGTGCCGGGAAAGCCAGGCTCTCCTGGGGTTCTGTTCTGTTTTGTCAGGGGGGTTGGTTTCCTCAGCGTGTTCTGTTTGTGGAAGTTGATCACATTGTACCCTAGCATTTATGTACTTTTTGGTATATAAATCTTGATTTTTAAAAACTCAACAAAATGTAACTAAGCTGCAAATTTGATACTGCAAATAGTCATTATTTCTATTTCAGTTCTAATTAATGTTGATTGGGGCATATTTTATGCATATTTATATGTGTAATATACAATAAGAAAACATCAGATACTCAGTTAAGATCAGATATTTCTTTTTCAGTCTAGAATACACTGAGGCCATATTAACTGCCCACTGTCATAAGGCAGTGAAAGACTCAGAAGGGGAACCCAGATTTTATGATTTCCAGGGTCCTGTAACAATAAGCTGGTGCTTATTTGTTCTGATGGTCACATAATTAGGAACTGGAAGCACACTGGCTCACTCGATACGGCTTTTGTCCGTAAGAAAACGCTTCCCACATCAGCACTCCGAAGCTCCAGACGTCACTCTTGCTGGAGAACTTGTAGTAGTTGATGCACTCTGGAGCGTACCACTTCACCGGCCACTTCCCGTGGGTCTGCGCCTGGAAGCAAGGCAAAGGGAGACGGTCCACTGAAATCCACATGTGGGCACACTGGGACTGAAAACAGAAGTACCGTACGGCTCAGTAACTCCACCTCTGGGAATCTACCTGAAGAAAACGGAATCACTAATTTGGAAAGAAGTACAGACCCATGTGTCTATTGCCCCACAGTAGCCCAGATATGGAAAGAACTGAGGTGTCCATCAGCAGCTGATGGATAGAGAAGATATGGTATTTATACACAATGGAATATTATTCAGCCATAAGAAGAAAGAAATCCTGCCATTTGCAACAACATGGATAGACCTAGCAGGCATTATGCTCAGAGAAATAAGCCAGGTGGAGAAAGACAAATACCATATGATTTCACTTACATGTGGAATCTAAAAACAAAATGGGAGAACAAACAAAACAGAAATAGATTCATAAATACAGAGAACAGACTGGTGGTTGCCTTAGGGGAGGATGGTGGGGGGACGGGTAAAATAGATGAAGAGGATAAAGAGGTACAAACTTCCAATTATAAAATTAGTCATGGAGAGGAAAGCACAGCATAGGGAACACAGTTAATAATGTCATATCTTTACATGTTGACAGATGGTGACTACATTTATCATGGTGAGCACTTGGATATATATTTGTTGAATCACTAAGTTGTACACCTGAAACCAGTATAATATTTTACATCAAATATATTTCAATTAAAAAAGGTCACCACTATAAAAAAAGAGTACTCTTATTCAGCAATAATTTAAAAATATTACAAGTACAAAGAAGATGGCTTTTTTTTTACTGAAAAAGTGTTGCAGATACCCACATTCACAGCAGCACTATTCCCTACAGCTCAAGGCAGAAATGATCCCAGTGTCCGTGGGTGAACGGATAACCATGTGGAGTCTCTATCCTCACAATGGGATATGGTTCAGCCTCAAAGAGGATGGGAGTCCTGGCCTCTGCCACAAAAGGGGTGAACCCTGAGGACACTGCGCTGACGGAGAGGAGCCAGGCAAGCCCCCAAAGGACAAATCATGGTGAGTGCACACATCTGAGGTCCCTGCAGTCAACCCATTCACAATTGGAGAGTAGAAAGATGGGCTCCCAGGATAGAGGCAGGAATGAGCGGAGTTTTCTGATGGGCACAAAGTTCTGTTTGGGAAGATGGGAGGAATACTGTAGCTTGGTTGTAAACACAGTGATGTACTTAGCATTGCTGAACTGGGCACTTAAAAATGGTTAAGATGGTAAAATTCATGTTACGTGTATTTTACCACTCTTAAAAAAGGGGAATAGAAGCATGACTCACAAAATGCCCTTTGTGTGTGCGCATGTATGTGTTTGGTATGAATCTTAAGAAATATGATTAGATGTTAAAACCTTACATTTTTAAGACTTAAATACATATCTTTAAGATCCAGGCAGAATGTCCTCTAGCTTTCTGTCTCCTCCTGCCTCTCCCTTTGGCCCTCACAGCCTCGTGGAGGTCATCAGGCAATGCGAGAGCCAGGCCTGGACGTTACTTCCCGGTTATGCACCAAGACATACTGGGCTGTTCACAGTGTATTTAATTATTCCTGGATATTTGTCTACAGTTTTAAGCTGAAATGAATTATTTTGGCACAGACTGTTTGCTAATATCATTTTTAAAATAGTTTAAACTTTCTAATTTAAGAAGCAAGTGGTAGTAGAGAGACCAAAATCCTGCCTGCCAACCCCCTTTCCTTTGGGACATGGGGTTCAGTGTGGTGTGGGGGAGGCCTGCTGCCTCCTGGCGATCCAGGGGTGGAGGGAGGGGGTGAGTGCCCCACAGTGGGTCAGGAGGGGCAACTTGGGGACACCAACCTAAGATGCAGGAGGTGTGGCACTGCTCTAAATGACACACTGACCATGCTTCTGTCTCCAGTACGTAATGCCTTATTCCCAGATTTTGATTTCAAAGATGTGGACATACTGTCCCGTGTTATTTCAAGTTTATTCTGAATTTTGAACAGGTAAAAGATAAACCTTCCACAAATCCTGAAAAGTTAGTCTCTCTCCACTACCCACTCTCAATCCTCATCACAGACACCACCAAGTGTTTTTCTTAAATCCTGCCCAAGAAGTCTATATACAAGTACCAATAGGTGATATATATTTTTGGGGAGTAGTAAAGCTAGGGGTATATACTTTTTGTACTTCACTTTTAACATTTTTCTACTTAACCATGTGTTGTAGATATATTTCTATGCCAGCACATGCAGATAAAGTCATGTTCAGAAGAGTTAACTGCATGCTTTGTACAAATCTACTATGACTGATTTAACCAGCCTCCTACTGAGAGGACATTAGTCTCCTGATTTTTGCTATTACACATCATGCCAGAGTGAGTATTACAACAGTGCGCATCTGCCCAGTGTGTAGGGTTCTTGTAAGGAGTAGCTGGGTCAAGAGCACTTGCTTTCACTGTCTTGGTGCTGCATAAATCCATGCAGCCATGCACGGCCTTTTGAGTGCTAAACTAACCTGCTTCCATCGCTATCATTTCCCCTTAATCTTGTTTAACTCATTATTTTTTCCATTTCGCCTCGTTTTCTTAAAGAAATCCTCCAGGTCCCCACCTTTTCAGCAGTGTTCAGTCCGTTTTTGCTGCTTCTAACATGGCTTTTATTTTTTTTCTACCATATGATGATTGAGCCCCAAATATATTGTGAACTGTTTACCACAGTAAGGTCAGGTGACACACCCTTCACCTGACAAAACTACCATTTTTTGTTGTTGCAGTGACAGCATTTAAGGTCTACTCTCTCAGCCACTTCCAAACATATGATACAGTCCTGCTAATAACAGTCACCATGCTATGCACTAGATCCCAAGTTTATTCTTCTTATTACTAGAATTTTGCGCCTTTTGATCAGCATCTTCTCATTTCCCACATCTCCCAGCCCTTAGTAACCAAAATCTACTGTTTCTGTGAGTATGGTGTTTTTGGATTCTACATACAGATCATACGGTATTTGTCTTTCTCTGTCTGACTTATTTCACTTAGAATAATACCTTCTAGGTCCACCCATGCTGTCACAAAAAAGAAAAAAACACAAAAAAACGGCAGGATTTCCTCCTCTTTTTATGGCTGAATATATTCCATGTATTTGTCTACAGTTTTAAGCCAATGCACAGATATGTGCACTTATATGTATATACACATCTTTTTTTTATCTGCTCATCTGTCAATGGATACTTAGGGTGTTTCCATGTCTTGGCTATTGGGAATAATGCTGCAAGGGACATGGGGTTGCAGCTGTCTCTCTCAGATAGGGATTCGTATCCTTCAGATACATATGTAGAAGCGGGATTGCTGGATCACACGGCAGTTCTATTCTTAGTTTTTGAGGAACCACCATTCAGTTTTCCAGTGCCTGCACCAATTTACATTCCCACCAAGAGTGCACAAGCATTCTGTTTTCTCTACACCCTGAAGATTTGTTAACTCTTGTTTTCTTGATAATGGCCACTCTAACAGGTGTGCAGTGATAGCGCACTGTGGTTCTGATCTCCATTTCCTTGATGATTAGTAACAGTAGCTTTACATGTATCTGTTGGCCATTTGTATGTCTTCTTTGGCCACAGAAATATAGAAAAACATAGAAAAATGTCTATTCAGGCCCTTGCCCATTTAAAAATCTGGTCTGTTTTTGCTATTGTGTGATTTCCTTATATTTTTTGGATATTTATCCCATATCATACAGCTGGTTTGCAATATTTTTTCCCATTCTGTAGGTAGACATTTCATTCTGTTGTTTATTTTGGCATACAGGAACTGTTTCATTTGATGTGACCTCCCTTGTTGATTTCTGTGCTTTTGGTGTCATATCCAAAGTTATTGCCAAGATCAGTGTTGAGGGGCTTTCTCCATGTTCTCTTTAGGAGTTTCATGGTTTTCAGGTCTTACGTTTAAGCCCTTAATCCATCTGAATTAATTTTCGTAAATGGTATAATACATGGGTCCACTTTCATTATTTTGCATGTGACTATCCAGTTTTTCCAACATCACTTATTGAAGAGACCATCCTTTGCTGATTGAGTATTGTTGGCTACCTTGTCAAATATCAGTTTGCCACATATGCATGGATTTATTTCTGGGCTCTTGATTCTGTTTCATTGGTCCAGAATTTATTTCTATTTTGATTACTATAGCTCTGTAGTATAGTTTGAAATTAGGAAGCATGCTGCCTCCAGTTTTGCATTTTTTCAAGATTGCTTTGGCTATTCAGGGTCTTTTGTGGTTCCATAAGAATTTTAACATCATTTTTTTCTGTTTCTGTGAAAAATGCCACTGGGACCCTGATGGAGACATGCATTAAATTGACAGATGGCTTTGGATAGTACAGGCATTTCAACAATAACTCTTCTGATCCAGGAGCATAGTATATCTTTCCACTCTTTTGCGTTCTCTAATTTCTTTCACTGATGTCTTATAGTTTTCAGTGTATAGGTCTTTCACTTCTTTGGCTTTTATTTCTATAGTGTCTTATATTTTTTTCCTCTCCACAGATTTTTCAGAGATTTGCTGATTTACTCTTCAGCAGTATTTTGCTAAACACGGCAGTTTTAAAATGCGGCCCTCCTGTCCATTCACCTCCCAAGAGGGGGAACTATCCTCCATTCTTCTTTGAATCTTGGTGACCAATAAAATGAGGTGGCTGTGCATAAGAAAAAAACAAATCCTAACATTTGCAACAACATGGATGGAGCTAGAGGGTATTATGCTCAGTGAAATAAGCCAGGCGGAAAAAGACAAGTACCAAATGATTTCACTCATCTGTGGAGTATAAGAACAAAGGAAAACTGAAGGAACAAAACAGCAGCAGAATCACAGAACCCAAGAATGGACTAATAGTTACCAAAGGGAAAGGGACTGGGGAGGATGGATGGGAAGGGAGGAATAAGGGTGGGAAAAAAAAGAAAGGGGGCATTATGATTAGCATGTATAGTGTGGGGGGGGCACGGGGAGGGCTGTGCAACACAGAGAATACAAGTAGTGATTTTACAGCATCTTACCATGTTGATGGACAGTGACTGTGAACGGAGATGTGGGGGGGACTTGGTGAAGGGGGGAGCCTAGTAAACATAATGTCCTTCATGTAATTGTAGATTAATGATACCAAAATAAAATTTTTAAAAAAATGAGGTGGCTGTGACTCTGAGCCAGTTCCCAGACCCCAGCCTTAGGAGCATCAGAGCCTCTACTTCCCAGCTCTTGAGTACCTTGTTCTTAGGACTCAGCCACCATGCTGTGAGGAAAGCCCAGTGGAGGTCCCAGACAAGAGCCCATGTCAAGTCAGTCACTAGCTGTGATAGTGAGCAGGGTGGAAACAAATCCTCCTGCCAGACTGACAAGACACTGTGGAGCAGAGATGCACCATCCCCTCCTGGCCTGGCCCACGCTGCAGGACTGTGAGTGAACAGATGCTTGGTGGTGTTTTAGTGCACTAAATTTTGGGATGATTTGGTATTTCAACTTTTCCATCTCCTTTTTAGTCTTTTTTGTAGCCAGTCTATATTTTCTTCTCTCTTCAATTATCATGATCAAGTACATGTTCCAAAGTGCCTCCAGCATTGAAGCCTACTTTTTTCTGGCATGTCCCTGAGATTGTCATTTTAGGCTATTGCTTCCTTTGCCCCATTTCCCAGCATTTGCTGAAAAGGGCTCATCCGGTGCTTTCCTAATGATGGCTCATCATGGAAGGGACTTTGGTTGGGGGCCAGCTTCTCCTTGAAGAATGAAATGAGAAGGAGCAGTAACAGGAGCTCATCTCCTGGTGCTTGTCCTTCCTGCTGTCCCTGAGTGGACCAACGTCCACTGTCCCCGCCCCCACCTGCCATAGTCATGCCTGGACTCTCAGAGAAAAGGTGAGTGGGTGGGTATGGTCACTTTGGCATGACCCCAAGGTGTGGGACTCAAGGAAACCCCACAGCCCCATCCTGCCATTTGCTAGTTTGATACTCAGGATATGTCATCTATTTCTGAGAAGGCCAGACATTCCCAGGACCTGGGGAGCTGGAAATCTGTCTTGGCACTCACTTCCATTCTGTCTCCTTCCCATTACATTTTCCAGTCAACCAACATAGACTCTGCTGGGTGCTAGGAAGGGCATGGGGCATTCTTACTTTTCCCTCCTCTTTTAGTTGCTATTAGTTCATTTCAGGGTTTAGAGAAGGGTTCTGAGAAATCCTGTAAGAGGCAACTTGCTCAACCCCTATTTTCCAAAGTAATTTAATGAAGGAATTCTATTCCTCTTTCTTTGAAATGAATAACTGGGTAATACCTTGATTCTCTATTGTTCCAAGAAACAGTTTGGAAGATGCTTTTATGAGTAAGTCTCAAGCTATGTCATATTACAGCAGTTTCATTATTTTAAAGAGCAGAATCAAAGCTTGTAAGAACCTTTCTTATATAATTATTTTTAAATGGGAAAATTGCTTCCTGAAACCCTGCCATCATAAAATAGAAAGCACCCATTTTCCACCTGCTGTTCCTACCTTGTAGTAGTTCTCGTCAGCACGAAGAGCTTTGGAAAGTCCAAAATCACTGATCTTGGCATAATGCTGAGTAACCAGCAATACATTTCTTGCAGCCAGATCTCTGTGCACAAAATTGCATTCCTCCAAGTATTTCATTCCCATAGAAACCTGATGAACCAGCTCTATAATGTTCTTATCCTTGACATGCCTGGAAATCAAAATGCGTCATTAGTGACGGTCTGTTTCAGAGCCACTGTGCTTCCCACACAGACAGAAGATGAATCCTCTCTCTCCCTCCTCCTAAGCAAGAGTCGCGACTGGTGACAGATGAACTTGCTAACGTATTGCTGTTCAAAATGGAAAACAATTCTCCTGATGTTCAGCTGGTACGATTTTCAAGGCGTGCATTATAATGGGGTGCTCAGACCTGGCTCACAGAGACTGAACTTAAGCTGGATTCCTGTTCCAATGTTGGACAGATCACCAAACCAACTCTGAACCTCAGTTTCTTGCCTGTGCAGAGGGGGTGACAATACCTCCTGTCTACAGAGAGTGAAGACATAATTTAAAGCAAAGTACAAACACAATGTAACAAATGGGATGAAGTAATCGTGGCTATGGTTGTGACATTCCACATGAGTTCCTCTAGTTTAATAACGGCTGTAGATGAGCACAGAATGATTACCCCACTGATGGTTGTAATCAACTAACAGGAATAGGTATTTTCAAAATACTTACTCATAGGAATGTACAGGTCAGTTAGACATGTAAGACATCACTGTTATCCCTTATAAAATGCTTATTTAAATATTTCTTTTAAAGAAGCATTTTCTGACTAGTGAGGGGAGTTGCTTGCCAATATATTCTGAATCTATCACAAGGCTATTACAATGTGAGCAGAGGAGAAAGAAGACAAAATTGTTGGATTAGAGTTTCCCTTTGTACAACAAGAGCTAAAAGAGCACTTGATTCAAAGACTACAGTTCCCCTCCTGTGTGGACAACCCTGGGAAGGCACCAGAGGAAAGAAGATTCCACAGATGTGAGGTTCACTGTGCACCAGGTAGGTGGGCCCTGCCCCTCCTAGCGCGAGCTTCTGGGATACCTGAAGATACCTGTTCTGCTGTAAGTATTTATTGAGTGGGCCAAGTTCCGCCATCTCCATCACCAGCATCCAGGATTCGGCCTCACATATCCCGATCATGCGCACGATGTACGGGTTGTCGAGTTGCTGCATGACATTTGCTTCCGCTAACAACTCGTCTTTAAGAGCAGGGTCATTGGCCTCATTTTTCAGTATTTTCACAGCCACTGTTTTCACGACTCTACAAAAAGACATATATTACATGAGCCATCTCATGAGAAAATTTTCAAAGTGGCTCACTTCTAGATAATTGTCTTCCACGAAGCATGATTCCTATGCCAGAAATGATGTTGTGGAAATATCTGCAATAGAATGCAAATGTGTCCAAAGAAGCCATGTAATAAATGACTAGTTTTCCAATGTTTTCTCATTTTGTAGACAAGGAGAGTAATACCATATTCACTAAAAGTAATGGAGGGGTGTATGTTCTGAAGAAATGTCCCAACCAAGCAGGAAGACCTAATATTGCAGAATGCTTATATAACTTTCAAATAAACCTTACAAACTATGACAACATGGATTCCTTCTTGAGATTCACCATCTCAGATTAGTGCAATGCATGTGAACACAATATTCCTTTGATATATGTTAGAAATGAATTCTTGGATGCAAAATTTAAAAAGTATACATTAAAAAGTATATGGAAAACACTTTTTACCAATGAGCTTTGTTCATTTTAAGCAAGCCTTAACAAGTTTGCAAAAAATTAATCATTTCTCATTTCCTAATAAAAATATCACATTTGATAACATGGGTAAAATAAGAGAGTAACAGAGCAAATGCGACATACATTCAGAGAAGCACCTTCAGCGTGGAATTCAATGAGTGTTTACACACTGGGTGCACGCTGTTGCTCTTACCCAGACAGAGGTTCAGACCACCACCAGCACCTGGGTGGGCCCCTCATTCTCCTCCTGAGATCATGGAAAAATTCTCCTAAATCATCTTTACACAGCTTGTTGCTTCGCGTTTCACAGTTCAGTCTGCCATCCATCTGGAGCTGGTTTTGTGGATGGTGTAACGTAGGGGTCAAAATTAACAAGCAGAAACCTCTTAATGCTTCCCAGGTTTTAAGGCAGAAACAATACTCACAAACTCTTTCAGAAAAGAACAGAGAAGAAAACTTACCAACTCATTTTATGAGGCCAGCATTATCCTGAAGCTAAAATCAAACAAATTATAAGAACATAATTTACTGATATCCCTCATGAACATAGATGCAAAAATTCTAAGAGAAAGATTAGTCAACTAAATTCAGGGATTTATGAAAAAGATATAATAATGAATATATAATTCAAAACAAGACAGGCTTATTCCAGGAATGCAAGGTGGGTTTAACATTTGAAAGTTAATCAGTATAATTCACCACATAAACAATAAAAAAGAAACACCGTATGGTCATCTCTGCAGAGGGAAAAAAATACTCAATAAAATGCAATACACATTCATGATTAAAAATAAACCTCTCAGAAAAGTAAGAACAGAAGGAAACAGGAAACTTTACTCATCTGACAAACAGCAGCACAAACCTAACAGTGACATTTTGAAGGTTTTCCCTCTGAAATTAGGAATAAGGGGGCTGCTGCCACTTGTATTCAACCCTGAACCACAATTCCCAGCTAAAACAATAAGGAAAGGAAGAAATATCAAAAGTATAGGATCAGACAGGATGAGAGAAAACTGTTATTGTTTATAGATGACACATACCTGGGTCAAAGTATCAACTAAACTGCTAGAAATAATAAGTGAGAAATAACAGGTAAATTCAGCAAGGTTGCTGGGTATCAGGGTAACAGACAAAACCAGTTATAGTTCCACATCCAAGCAGCACCAGAGATGAGCAAATACAATTTTAAAAATTATGCCATCTATATTCACATCAAAAATACCAAAGGCCTATGAATGGATCCAACAGAAAGTTGTGTAAGAACTCTGCAGAGGAAACTAAACAACTCTGCTGAGAGAACCTGAGAAAAATTAAAGATGGCCTAAGTAAATGAAGGGCTGGGTCACGTTCACTGATCAGAAGGCTCAACATGGTGAAGACGTCGCTGGGCCCCAAACTGACCCTACAGGGCCCCTCCTTTCCCCTGACTCTGGAGGTGAATTTATGTTTCTATAGTCACATCTATGTTAATCACAAATTTAATTGAGCAAGTAATTGAAGTATCACAAACTACTTGAGAAAATGTATGCCTTAACACAGGGTAATTTATATTCATTTTACAAAATGACTATGATACACATATATTTTAAAATAAGCCTATCAGTCAAATACACACACACATATACACATAAAATACATGTGTATAAAGTTGAGCTTTGAACAACACATGATTAGGGGCACCAACCTTCCACACAGTTGAAAATCTGTGGGTAACTTGACTCCCCCAAAACTTAACTATGAGTAATCTACTGTTGATTGGAAGCTTTACCAATAACATAAACAGTTGATTAACATGTATTTTGCATGCTATATGTATTATATACTGTATTCTTACAATAAAGTAAGCTGGAGAGAAGAAAATGCATTTTCAAATTGTTGCAAATTTCCAAAAAATATTCCAATGTATTTACTGAAAAAAACCTGCATATAAGTGGACCTTCACAGTACACACACATACACACCAACACACACACACACACACACACACACACACACACACACACATACATACACATGTGAAGAGGAAAGATTGAAAGCAAGTGTTTCTGTTCATACTTTTGTCTATACTCTCGACCCTTGTATCATATAAATTACTGACTCAAGAAAATTTTACTAAGTTTTTTAAAATTTAAAATAAAATCAAACAACTCAACACAACTATATTCACATCAGTAACATACAAATTCAAACAGACATATTTAAAAAGAGTGTTTGTTTCAAAGGACTTTAAAACTAATACTTCACTCAACATTCTGTGTGGGATGCCTTCTAAACACCAAATGAAGTACAAAGAGATTTCAGTAATTTAACAATTCTAATTGTTGCATAATATGTATTGTTATTTGATATTACAGGATAAAGCAAATAAATAATCATATTAATACTATTTGTAATCAGGACTTTTCTAAATAGGCAAAATGAGACAATTTAAAAGCTCAAAGAAAATAAGTGGAAACGTGTTGCTATCACTGAGTGACTGCATTTTAATTAAACAATACATATGTGTATGTGTGTGCACATAAACATCTAAAAAATATAAATACTAAGGTTAGTTAACAATAGTGGTATTTGGGTGATGGAAATGTGATGTTTTTATTTTCTTACATTTTGCTTGTTTCTGTTTTCTAGTTTTCTATAAGTTTCTGTTTTCTAGTTTTCAGCACACATACTACATCTAAATTAATGTACAGAGTTATTATATACACAGTTAGTGTATATAATGAATGCTTTCATTGTAATTGTACTGGAAATGAACAAAAATCACACTGTTAATAAAAAAGGGTTTCCAACCACACAAGGTCACACGCTGTGTTTGGGCTTAAGTGAACATAGTCCTTGACCATGCAGCGTCTAGCATGTAAGCGCTCATGCAGTGAGTGGTGTGGCAGTGCAAAGCTGTGACTCACTTTTTCATCTGGTAGTAGCCCTTCTTCACGGTCCCAAAGTTACCAGAGCCCAGTTCCTGCTCCTCCAGCGTCAGCAGCTTTCGGTCCAGGTAGACCTCCTTGGGCCTGATCTCCTCGGGGTCCGCGTAGGGGCTTTCGTACACTTCTGTGTCCATGGGCAAGGCTTCTCTCTGGGTTTCTGCAGTGCAGTCCAGAAACACATCCAGAAACACAACCGTGGGGCCGGGCTCCTCATGAAAACCCCATGGCCTGTCACTCCTGGCTCCTGTGGCCACCCTCACCTTTCAAGACCTCGGTTGCCTTGGGCAGTAATGGTGCCAGTGAGGATGCAAGGCATGGTCTCTCCCAGCTGATGGGAGCAGCCAGAAGCCCCTGTCCCTGATGGGCCCCACCCCCATCCTTACACTAGTGTGCATGGAGGCAAACACAGGTGGGTAAAACCCCTAATGGACTGTGGTGGCTATAAACTGTCTGAAAACTTTGACACTCCTTCAGTTAAGAGGTGGAGCCTATGTCATCTCCCCTCGGCGGCTCTGTAACTGGATCAGCCGACAGAGTGTACTGAAGTGGCGCTCATGATACCCTCGGGAGAGGCTGTCAGAGGCCATGCATCTCCCACGGCCTTTGCTAGGTAACTGGCTCTAGAAGCTGCAGACTCCATGCAAGGTGTCCGGCTGCCCTGGAGCCTTCTACGTTGTGGGAAAGCCCAAGCCAATCTCCACGGGGAGACCAGAGAGAGAGGCCATAAGAGCAGACAGGGAGATGCTGGCCAACCCCTGTGCCCAGCCTCCCAGGGGCCACCACCCACTGGCCCAGCTCCAGCCCAATCTGACTGCAAGAGGGCCCCAGCAGCAACTGCCCAGCCAAGCCTTGCCCAAATTCCTGCTTTGCACCAGATAAGTAAATGAGAGGCAATTCAATGATTGTCATTTTAAGGTACTAAGCTTTGGGGAGGTTTCTGTAGCAACAAGCAGACCAAGTTACCAATAAAAACATAACCTAGAGTCACCCAGAGAACCAAGCAAGCCCCTCAGAGGCCCTATTTCTGGCAAATCTAGTCAAGGGCTACTGAGTTCATCCAGGGCTTAGTGTCCTGAACTGTGTCCTCTCGTGGCCTCGCACAGTCACTACAATTCCCAACCCATGTCTGGAATTCCAACATCTCAGACATTCCTTGAGTTTTACCAGCCCTCCCATCAGCGCACCTTCGGCTGACACCTGTCAGCCACATGGTCATCATCCAGGACACCATCTTAGAGATGTGATTGGGGAGTGTCAGTATCAGCAGGGACAGAAACATGGGAAGGACCTGCACTGCAGAACACATTCACTGGCCAGCTGATGGAGGGGAAGGCCACGCAGGCCACCCTCCATTCACAGACATGTGACATCTGCCTCTGCCCCCAGGCCCGAGTGTCACTCACTATGACCATCACTATGTGGAGCATGCTGACAGGGAATGAGGGACCAGCTCTACACTACACAGGTGACTGAGAAGCACTTCTCTGCCGGGAATGTCTGCGCCTAACGGGCAGCTCTCACCTCGGTCCGAGGGCCCCCGGTCTGGCTCATAGGGGTTGAACGACACGGAGCTCTCTGGCCGGCTCCCTTGGGACGAGGGGGTCTGAAGCACACAAATGAGAGCAGGTCATTTTCCTCCATGGATGCACCATTTGACTTCATCTGTGTAATTATTTTTATTTTCAAATAATCACATTTCAACTCATGCAGAAAAGATAAAGGAAAGAAACAGGAAGAGAGAGAGAAAAAATAAACAACATGGCTTATCTCATTCTTCCGGCAACTGCTTGGATCTTGTGAGGGCTAAACAGAGCTCGCCTCCTACAACTCCAGGGCCTGCAGTTCCCGGAAGCTGTTGTGAGAGAAGTGACCGGAACTGCTGAGGCAGAGCACCCTGCCCTGCAACGAGCCCTTCCAAATCCTGCTTCCACCTGCCAAAAGACGCTGAGGATTTCATCATCCTGTTTCATCCTTTTCCTCCATTAACTCTTTTGCTTCAGTTTGATATCATATGGAAGTATTTAAAAAGAAACATGAAATATCCACCAGCCGCTTCCACCCACTTACCAACTCCAAAGCCTCTCTGTGTTGCTATTTTCCGCCTGTATTTTTGTCTTCTGTGGAAATCTAGCAACACTGGGTAGGTGCCAGAGGACGGCACTGGCCAGGAGTTAGAGGGCCTAGGGGTGGCTGCCACCAGCCCAGGGCGGTGCTAACACAGTGGTAATGCTTATGGCCATGATAATGGCTGAAATGGAGATCGTGAGGTGGGAAACCCTCTTTTTACTAAGCGAAGGAATGTAATTCTTCCTTGTTCCCATACCAAGACAAAGCTTTGCTGCCATTATTAGCAGCAAACTTCCCTATTATATACTTGATTTACATCAACTTGCACCATGAAATAGTTGGGGGGATCTACTCCTTATATTTTATAGCAAAAGTCTCTATCTCCTGTTCTTTCTGACCCACCGCTCCCCCAACCTAAAACAAGGGTCTTGCTACTAAATTTGGCTTTGCAGGAAACCACAGTCCAAACCATTTTTCTGGTGTGAGTTGAGTAGAAATTTCATATATCCATATACTTTATCAATGACCAAACACTGGCCATGAAGAAATGAGATACTGCCAGATTTTTGGAAGTTTAAAGAAACAGGGACATTAAGCTTAATTTTACACCGTCATTATCTCTCACACACACAGAATCCTCGCCTACCTCCCAGGAACCAGAAGTACAATAACTAAGCCACTGTCACCACTTGTCTCCAGAGCTTGACTTCCTTCTTCACATCTCTCCTGAGTGCTACAGAGCCACTGCCTGGAGTGGCAGGGGGCCCTGACCAGGCTAAGGACATTCACTCTCACATGTCTGTAGGATGTCGTCGGATTACGTACTCACAACTATCTCAGCGTTCTTACCAAACCGCTTCATGGAAGTAGGTATGATGGGTCAAAAAGGACAACAGAGTGTAAGTTCCAGGGGGCAAAGTCATTCACTACTGAATTAGAACTTTGCCATGATCGGTGAAAAGTGTGTCCAGCAAACACATGAAGAATGAATGATGAATGAATGAATGAATGAACGAATGGAGATAATGTCTTAAAACTGGGATGTGTGAAGTGCAAACCAGTGTGACTTTAATAACCTCTCAAGTTTTTGTACTGAGTGAATAACTCCAAATGATTCTCTCTTTTAAAACTGTGTGTGATTACCAGGACTATGAGACCTGCTCAGAGTTCACTTCTCATTTAAAATACAATCACCCTGAAGGGGGGAGCCTAGTAAACATAAAGTTCTTCATGTAATTGTGGATTAATGATGCCAAAATAAAAAAAAAATACAACGACCCTGTCTCAACAGACCCATCCTAGGAGAAATGAGGTTATTTCCAAGGTTTTCAATCCTCCCCCTCCGCTCAGCTACCTCCTGAAAACTCCAAGATGGAAATAGTTTACAAATTAAAAAAAAAAAACCATCTCTTCTAGGTTCATTTCACTGATTTCCCTAAAAGTAGGAAAGTCCTGTGATCCAGAACTTTCAAGGCACTAGCACTGGCCATCCAAGGCAAGGAGAAGATACTGGCACCCCTTCTCTTGACCGTAAGACCTTTGGCTTCTGCCTACATAGTGCCGTATCCTGGGGCTGCAGCCTATCCACCCTGACTGAATGTTCTCCAGAGCAGGGGGCCTTCATAAAGGCTGTTCCAAAAAAGCCAGAATGCAATTATCTGACATATGAACCCAGAGCAGGTATAAAAACACTGCAAAGATACTAGGGCATAGGGAGTAAGAGTTAGTGATGGACAGAGCGCCCTCAAGCGCTGGACAGGGTAAAGCATACCCTGACTGGTCGTGTGCTGCTCACCCCTAACGTGCCTTGCTACTGTTAAGGAAATGGGTTTGGAGCACCTCTGCAACTGCCCGGCAGCTGAGGTGGCCCAGGGCTTCAGAGCCTGGCGGGTGAGCCCACGTTTCCCTCAGTTAACCACCTCTGCTTCTCATGCGGATCCCTCAGCCCTTCCTGCCCTTGTAACCTGAAGGGGGGAGCCTAGTAAACATAAAGTTCTTCATGTAATTGTGGATTAATGATGCCAAAATAAAAAAAAAATACAACGACCCTGTCTCAACAGACCCATCCTAGGAGAAATGAGGTTATTTCCAAGGTTTTCAATCCTCCCCCTCCGCTCAGCTACCTCCTGAAAACTCCAAGATGGAAATAGTTTACAAATTAAAAAAAAAAACCATCTCTTCTAGGTTCATTTCACTGATTTCCCTAAAAGTAGGAAAGTCCTGTGATCCAGAACTTTCAAGGCACTAGCACTGGCCATCCAAGGCAAGGAGAAGATACTGGCACCCCTTCTCTTGACCGTAAGACCTTTGGCTTCTGCCTACATAGTGCCGTATCCTGGGGCTGCAGCCTATCCACCCTGACTGAATGTTCTCCAGAGCAGGGGGCCTTCATAAAGGCTGTTCCAAAAAAGCCAGAATGCAATTATCTGACATATGAACCCAGAGCAGGTATAAAAACACTGCAAAGATACTAGGGCATAGGGAGTAAGAGTTAGTGATGGACAGAGCGCCCTCAAGCGCTGGACAGGGTAAAGCATACCCTGACTGGTCGTGTGCTGCTCACCCCTAACGTGCCTTGCTACTGTTAAGGAAATGGGTTTGGAGCACCTCTGCAACTGCCCGGCAGCTGAGGTGGCCCAGGGCTTCAGAGCCTGGCGGGTGAGCCCACGTTTCCCTCAGTTAACCACCTCTGCTTCTCATGCGGATCCCTCAGCCCTTCCTGCCCTTGTAGGGACAGAGGATGGTGCTACACTGAGGAGAATGCTCTCTGGAAGAATTGGGAGAAATTTTCTTTTGTGTCTGGCAAAAGGGTGGGGGTGACTTCATGATGAAGATGGGGATTCAAACCACAAGCCAATGAGTGTGCCACTTAGTAGGACCACACTGAAGCCCTCTGGAATTGAATGCTCAGTTGAAAAGAAGAGTCTGAGGACTCTGTAGAGAAGGAACTCTAAGGCATAATGATAAATTACAAATGTATCGATTAGTATTTAAAATGTAATGAAATGTTAATGAACAACATATGGTTGGTCTGCTAGTTCATATGTCATTATTCCATCTGCTCTGTGGTTTATGATTTATTCTGCCCTAATCAAAAGCATCACCTTTTCTTCATAGAGTACAAGGTGTAAATGAAATGCTGACAACTCTTTTTTCCCATTTTTGCGGAAAAATCGTATCAGAGGTCAGACCGGCAGGACACCACTAGATGGCGCCAACTACCTCAGCTGTCTCCCATTCAGAATGATTTGCAATTTTTAAGTTTCATAAATTTGGGTAAAAACAAGTCACTGCACAATAATAAAAAGAAAATTAGGTTAGATTATAAAGTATGATCCCTGATCTCTATTGTCCAGGCTTAAATGTATTTGACAAATATTCTTTGAGTTGCCTATGTGTAAGTGGTGGGGATTCAGAAATGAACCAAAGAGAAAACGTTTTATACATTGCTTTTATGGTGCTGACAGGTTAATTTGGAGTCTTCTGTTTCAATAGTATAACGTCCATTTCTAGATCGTAGTTTTTAGACTTCTGCAAAGATTTTTAAACGAGGCCACTGCAGTGATGATGATAACGTCAGAATTGCAGTGACAAGAAAGCCAGTGGGCTGGGGAGGCCTGGCTGCCGTTGGCACAGCGCCGGCCTCTGGGGCGTGACCGCGGCCATGCGCGGGGTGAGGTCCCGCAGTGCAGGGCAGGCCCCTCTTGGCCAGGGCATGGGATCATGTTAGGTTTGCTCAAATCCATGAAAATAAACACTTGACCCTCACTATTAACCTTCCCTCAGCCCAGAAGTGCAGGCCTAAGGCCCGCCCACTGCTCCACGTCACCCGGTGAGCGGGTATGACCTGAGAGCTTCCTTCCTCTCTCCCCTCTCCCAGCTGAACCCTAGTGAACCGCGTAGTTGAGTGTGTCTTAAAATAGTCCAATCATCAGTGCCTGTGTTGGAATAAAACATGAAAACGGGTTTTAGCTGAAATTCTGGGGCCCACTGCTACAGGAAGGCACCCCGAAGGCCATGCCTCATCTAGAGAACTCCGCCTTTGAGTCCTGAAGCACGTGGCTCCCCAACTCGGCTGGTTTCCCCGGATCGGAGGATCGGCTCATGTACTTAAAGGACACCAGTCCCTATAGGAAGTGTATGGCAGGGGTAGTGGGGCAATGGCTGAATCATACTGGAATTTAGTTAAATTCGTTTACAATTTTAAGTATTAAAATGTTACTAATCTCTAAAGAAAAGTTTAAAATATACCTGCCCTTAATTTGTTACTATGGAATTTCGAATGATCTGACCTATCTTCACATCAGAAACATACTTTTCATTTGCTACCTGCATGTTTGTTAATTCAAGTTTTAACATGTACTTTTTGTGCCTGAATCATAAAAAACAACTATTTAAATTGATCAAATTAATAAATTCAAGAAAGTGATTTACACCTTAGCTAAACAGAATATTTGACATAATTCCCACAAGTCTTCTCTCGTGACTCAGTGCCTCTGTGGATTCTGAAGTAAGTGAACTGATTTAAGTTAGGGAGATGATCCTGGGAGCATCTGGTGTAATCAGTCAAGAGTCCTTAGAAGAAGAGTTGAGGCTTTCCCAAGAGAGAAAGATGAGCGGAGGGGCACAGTGGACCCCTGGCTGTGGGTGATCGCTTAGGCCGGCCTGAGGGGCTGCACCTGCTCCTTCCCCTCAGCTGCTGACAGCCTGCCCTCTGGGCATCAGACTGGCCTAGCCAGCCCCTACGGCTACACAAGGAGAGCCCCTGTGATAGTCTGCATGAGTGTGTGTGTGTGTGTGTGTGTGTGTGTGTGTGTGTGTGTGTGTAGACAGATGTGCACACTGCCAATGTGACACTGAAGTAGACCACGATTCCATTCAGGTTTATCCCAGACTCTCCTTGCTAAACCACTATTGGTGGCCAGTGCAGGGACATCTTGAATATGACTGCCCACTTTGAAAATTCTTATTAAGTAAGATCTCAGGGCTAACATCTTTCTATTTCCATGGTTTCTAGTAAGTACTTTAAGCAGTCTGCTTCATGAATTGTTGCCGTTATATGCCGAAATGTCTGGAAGAATACAACTGATGTGAAATGGGAAGAATTATTAATGAAAGAATTAATTTTATACCAAAATAGGAAGGAAAAGAAAGCATGTTTTATCTATATAGACATATGAAATGTAATATTATATATATAGGTATATATAACATGTGTAAGATGTTTATATATTTTTGAGGGAGGTGATTCATTATAAATAGAAGAACTTATATTTTTAAAAATAAAAGTTCATTAAAAAGAACTTATTTCTCTCATAATTTGATCTACAGCAAAATATAAAAATGCATCAGGCATCAACTTTACTGCCTCATAAAGAAAAGTAGTATTTCTAATCCTCAAATTCCATCTAAGCTTTACACATGTTACGTATAAATTTCCAGGCTGGAGCTCTACAGCCCCAATGAAGTTACTGTGGCACTCCATATGTATGAAAAAAAAAACAGCCTTAGGCACTCCCTGTGCATACGTACAAAACCTTGGCTTCCCATCCACTGACATGTAATTTATACACTCAACGAGCAAAGCATGGCAGCATGGATTCCGGCAACTCAAAAGGACCTTGATGGTCTCTGCAAAGACTTTCCCACATGAGCATGAGCTCCTGCCTCTCCCGCAGACCGACCGACTTTCAAGTGCACATTTTAGCAGAGGGAGTGTGCTCACAGTGATGGACTTTGCAGCAAAGTGACCAGGACCCACATGGAAAGCAGAGCGAGAACCATGAGGGCTCCACAGAGCAAAGGGACACAAGGCCAGAGCAGCAGGAGGGCCAGCGCAGCACACGGAGGCAGCCAGCCGGCGAGCGTGGGGGCCGAGTGCGGTGCGGAGCAATCCTACCACTTGGGGACAGCAAGCAGGGGCACTTTGGCACCTTTCTGTGGCCAGGCTTTGGGAAGGAGTATGATTTGATTCTTGAGATTATTCCACCTGCCGACCAAGTCTAGAAACCATAATGGCAAAAAGGAACAGTAAATGTGCAGCAAACAAGTACAGGCTACCTCACCTGACACACTATCTCACTTTGCTTTACAGTTACGCCGCCAACCCCTCCACACTCTGTGGATAGGCATCACTGTGAGCAGCACTTGGTCATTAGGAACGCTTCCAGAAAAGCCCACCACCTGAGCAGAGGGATCTGGAAAAATATTTTGGTAGTATTTCCCACAGAAGGCTATAACATTTGGGATGGTGCATTAAGTAGCCCATGTTTCCTATGGAATTACTAAGTCACAAACTCAAGACAAATCACCCTAACAAAACTCAAAGAAAACCTGACTGCCCAGCCTTGTTACTCCTTCAGGGTCCTGGCTCCACAGTGTCGGTGGAAATACACTGAGTTGGACACTTGGGGCATGTGCATGTTTTTTTGCATGTCATCGGTTAATACAAAATTTTCCCAAGATACCTAAGTTTTTGAAGCTGTGGGATGATGCCTGGAAAAATAAAGGGCTTGAAATTCTTTAAAGAGTTCTCAGCCCTAAGCCATCATCCGTCTCGAGGAAAATGGATCTGCCTCGTGGAACACACAGTATGAAAGTGGGCTTTCCCGACAGGAAGCCACATGATGGGCCAGACAAAGTGACAGCACCAAAAAGGTGCCATATTTCAAAAGCTGATCCCCGAATTTTGAGCAGTTAATAATCCCTACTGGGGGCAGAATGTACATTCTAGTCTTTGCAGATTTTGCTTTTTAAGGGTTAACATGCAAAAATTGAGGTGTAGAGCAAACAGCTCATGATGGGGGATTTTTACATTTCATAGATGACATTTAATGTCAGCAAAGGTCCACAATGATGTCCCTCCAAAAGGACCAGGAAGCCTATCCCACTTTCAGTCTACATCTGTGCATCAGCTCATTAAAAAAAAAAGAATGGAGAGAAGAGAAAGGTAGAATTCTCTCTTTAGGGGCATCAGGTATACATCAGGAAACCCACATGCAAAAGTTTAGACAGGCCATGTTTTCACCTCCTATTGGTGTGGAGGGGAAGGTGGGTCCTGGCTAAGCCCTGGACTCCCTCCTCCTGAAGGGGCTTCTCTTGACGCCACTGAGCACCCCCATTCAAAGCCTTTCTTCACTAAGTTACTGTCAAACCGGTTCTCCTAGAGAGGGTGTGTCTTCTGATAACAATGTGTCGGTTGATTTCACCAGGACAGTTGGGCAGGCAACCTCAGTGAGCCATCTTATATACCAAGCTCATGACACCATCATGCACACAAGGTCTGCATGGAGTGCAAGGTGGAGCCTGAACAATACGTTACCATTTCCCAAATCTGCCAGGAGGCATATTTCTGATTTAACATTGAGTTTCATGGTGATTTGGTATACTTTTAGAAAATGGAGGGAATTTAACCTACCAGAGCTATTAATTTGGCTAGCTTGGAACTGAAATAGACTGATTCTAGTTAACACTCACCGGCAATCCCAGTTCGTCAAGTGTTATTAAAAACAACCACCCTGCTCCTGCCGGCTAAAACATGCTTTTCACTGTGCTAATGAGCAACTGCTTCACGTGTGGGATGTTTAATAACACTTACCATAAAATGGGAACTTGGAAGTTGTGCACGACCTCCAAAATTAATATTTCCTGGTGAGAAAGAACATGGACAATTACTCTATTACATCAGTGAAAGCCACTATTTACACCATCCACCTCCACCACCACTCTGCAGGCCAGTCACCGTAATTTGTGAGATGTTATGGCTTGAGAAGCAGAAACATTTTCTGCATACATTTCTTTCTGTCCCCTTTCCCTCAACTTGCTCCCCAATGCAATTACAGCTACTTAGTTTTTTAAAGTTAAACTTATTTACTATTTTTTGATAAAAGACTTATATGTATATAATTGGAGCAATCTGTCATCACCTTTTGCCAATCAGGTAAAACAAGACCTCCTCTCACCTGAATTTGTAACAGGCCAAGTCTAAAATAAGGCTGATCATTATCAATACCCGAAAGACTGAGCTCCAGTGTCTTCATGACTCACCCATTTGCCCGCCAATTTTCTGACATGGAACTGTAAGAACTCTTAACAGACCATCTGGCTTATAAGAATAATGCTCGACTAGCTGAAAGAGAAAAAGTAAGAAAGCACAGTGAAAAATGGGAAATCCTACCAGGAGCAGCCAACTTCCCTTCTGGCTTGTAAAGTGGCTCACGGACAATCCTGAACCACAAAACCTTTTTCCTTTGGTGGATCTCCCTGGTCTCTCCCCATGCCTCTCTCCTCCTGGTCTCAGACTTCTGGACAGAAGTCCACACACAGCTCCTTCTGGACCCCAGTATGCTCTCAGCTCAATGCCTGCCTTTCTTTTTTTGAAAGCAAGTTGCATTTATTCATTTATGTTCTCCTACATCCATGTCATGTTATAAAAACAAATTCAGCATGCTAACATTTGTTCCTTTATTCAGTCATTCAGCAAACATTCACGTGCTAGGCCCCAAGACAGGACAAACAGTATACTAAGGGGAATTAGACACATTTCCTCACTTGAGATGCTCACTTTCTTGGTGGAGAGGCAGATATATGAATCACAACGTAGAGTGATTAATGCTGTAATTGTGTGGTGGGCAAAGGCTTTGGAGGGACCAAGTGATGGAGTCCAAAAGCTCCAGAGAGAAGATGTCACAGCACAGGTTATACAGGAGCAGGGACACAAGGAAAGGAGGCCTTTTGGGGAATGGAGAGTGTTGACAGGTCAAGGACATCCTTGGTGAATTGTTCCCAGAAAGCTATGGATTGTGGTGCCCAACATCTCCATTAAAAATAAATTGTGGCAGGTTTATTTCCATCTAATTAAAATTATGCAAAATAAAGACAGCATTGGTATTTCCTGTTTTCTTTCCAAATACAGATGTTTCCTCTTCAGATAACCTAAAATCTTCATATCTGATATTTCTTCCTTATCTATTCATTGGTGCTCTTTCCAGTCAAGGGCTCTGTGCTCCTAACTCTTCTTTCTTCTCAAAGCTTACCTACTTGAGTGAATGTTTGTTGAATGAATATATTTTACCTGTCCAGGGAGCATTCTTTTTAAAAATTTTCTTTAGTTGTAGTAATAACATAACATGAGATCTACCCTCGAAACAAATGTGTCCATCTCACCTACCCTAACCCCATACTGAATGGACCACAAAGTCTCCCTGTTCTGTTAAACACAAAAGTGTGTTCTCAGGCTGACAGCATTCAGGGTGCTAACCAGTGGAAATACCCTACCCACTTCTCCAATGTCACTCAAATACCTCCTTAAATTCTTTTGTTTTCAGACAATCTACTCCACAAGGGTGGCTGGGAGGTAGGTGGGTGTCCATGTGAGGATTTCCCTCCTGGCAGGAGTCTGCTAACTTTTTCTGTAAAGGGCCAGGGAGTGATATTTCTAGCTCTTCTGGGCCACATACTATCTTTGTCACACATTGCTTTATTTATTTTTAAAACAACCCTTTCAAATGTAAAAACCATTTTCTTCAAGGACTGCACAAGCACAGGCTGGGGGCCAGGCTTGGTGTGTGTGTTTGCTGCCTCCTCCCAAGCACGGGACGCCAGAGCGATGTGGCCAGGGCCAACTCTCAGGAAAACGGTGCGGCTCCTCGGGGGGAGCGGGGCACCTGGCGCTCCTGTCAAGGAAACTAATGAAGTCACCCCTGTAAAAACGGAAGGGGCTGCTAGTGGTCTGTGTGCTCTTTCTTTAACACACGGCCAGGAAATATACAATAGGGAAGATATCATCAGGGCTGAACACGATGATGTGCTGGAAGAATTGATAAATATGGGAAAGAGTCTTGGAAAGGAGCTTTCCAACAATTACAAGCGTTTTACACGAGAGTGCGTGTGCACACTTTGCAGTGGTGAATGAACTCACACCAGGAAGTGGTCAGCCAGGAGAAGCCAATGGCTGTGTGCCAGCGACGGTGCCCAGGGCTCCTCGCGATGGGTGGGCAGATGGACTCTGGTACCTTAAATGCACCATCAACAACTCTCGTAGGAGGCAGAGACTTAGATGGGAAATGAATCCTGAAGGCGAGTTTCCATGCTCATCTCTCAGGTGTGCGCTGAGCACTGGTGCCCAACAGGCTAAACACTCATTCAGATTGATCCCATTCAGATAAAGCAAAGCCTATGATCGATAATGAGCCATTTGTCCATGAGCCACAAACCTAAAGACAATGCCAGTATTAACAACTAGAATGAATAAATGTTGTAATAACCGGCATTCAGAAAGGAAGGAATTTTCCCCCAAATACAGCTACAGGGGCTAAAATACATTATGTGGTTGTTCCTCTAAGTTCTTTCAAGGTAATGAGGATCCCTGGTGCCAGTGTTTAAGAAGATGGAGTTCTGAGTCAGCCCTTTCCTACTATTATCACACTTGAGGTTCCTGGTGGGGCCTGGGTGTGCATGTGTTCCTGATGACACCCCTCACCCACAGAATCTCGAGGTGACAGAGTCCCTTGGAAGTCCTGTCTCTGGACCCACTGCAGCTTACAGGCTGCTTTGCTAAAATGAAACATGTGGCATGATTACTGTCATTTCCTCATGCTATGACTGACAGGACAAGCTGTGTATGACCACCAGCATGACGGGAAGCTTAGCACTCGGCAGTGCCAAAGTAACTCCCAAGCTGGAGCTACTTCAGGGTTTACTAACAGTTGGGGCAAAAATAAATCCTTCTTAGACCAGGTCCGAGCAATCCTGTGCACATGATAGAGATTCAGTTTGCAGAGAGAATGGTGCCTGACAGTTTATATTCAGTTTGTCCTCCCACAGTTCAAGAACAGCCTAACCAGCCACCGTCAGGCCCCCTTTCCCAGACATCTGTGCCTTTACTTTGTGTGCATTTGTCTGAAAACCTGCCCTGGGTTCCAGGTGGAATGTAGAAATGTTTTCTAGTACCCAAGGCAGGGTCAGAGCCCCTGTTAAACTCCAAGTGCAGCCGTCTGCAGGCATGCCTCCTGGGGCTGAGAGTGAGGGGCCGCGGACAAGTTACAGAACCTTCTGGAACTTGTCCACCTAACATCATAATCCCTAGAGCAGCACTGTGAGGCACTGCAGGTGGACGGCAGGCTCTGAGTGGGCGGGTCTCGGGCAGGGACCCAGGTGAGCTGGTTCCTGTCCTTCCTGGGGACGTGTACCTGCCAGAGTGTGTCGAACTTCTTTCCGTCAGGTATGGAGAGCTTCCCCGTTTTGTCCTTGTCGATGCGGTAGTGCAGCACCTTCCCCTCGTGCAGCAGGCACAGAGCATAAGACCCGTTGCCATCCCTGGCCCTGATCCTGGAAGACAGGAAATGGCCACATCACCTAGACCGCCCATCCCATGGGGAGATGTGCCCTGGGCAGGTAGCCCACAGGAGCACCCGACCTTGGGGGCAAGGGCTCTGCCCACCAATCCCAGGAAGGCCCAGCTCTCCATCCAGTGATGTCAGGGAGCTCACAAGGAAATGCTGTGGCTGGGGACGGGCTGCAGGCACGATCCGGTGGCCCAGGGGCCCTAGTGGGCTCTGCACGCAGCACTCGGCCCATAGGAACAGCAGCCACTCAGGCCACCTGCACGTGGGACCCCAGGACCGGGAGAGGGTACGGGCCCCTCTGCACTCACCTCCTCTCTTCACTGAGGTCAGCCTTTGGGTCGGAGCCCTGCTGGGTCATGCTGACCACGGGGCTCTGCTTCCTCATCCTTGCGGGTTCTCCTTGGGGCCACCCCATCCCCCCACAGCTATGCCCAGGACGGGCTCTGCCTCCAGGGCAGGAGGCCTATGGGGAGGCCTCGGGGATCTGGGAGGGCATGACCCTGGGGGCCATACAGGCACGAAATGGACACTGACCCCTCCTGAAATGTGGCGCTTAGACATCCCCGTCCTCGGCTGATCTCCCCTTCCAGAAAATCAAGCCCTTCAGACCAGGCACTCTGAGAGTGGGTGTCACGGAGGTCCCAGAAGGCTGCTCTGGCCCTGCCATTTTCTAAAATGAGGAAACCAAAACCCTAAAATGTTAGGCAATGTGCCCAAATGCATCACAGTTTGGGAGGAGTTCAAATGTGTCAAGCTGCCATGGGACTTCGAGTTTGGGGAAGTGCCTGATGTTCTGTCTTGGTTGAAGAGGTCACATCCATGAGGCAGGCTTTAGAAACGGATGTGGTCACCCTTCCCTGGCCTTGTACACTCACCTTAAAAAGCTGACCCGAGGCTCAGGAGCTGAGCTTTGTTTTGTGGGGTTGAAATTTTGCATTAAGAGTACATTTCAAGTTGTGCTTGGCTGTGCACAATGGATCAGTTCCCTCCACATCCCACCGCCCGGGGCAGCCGGAGCAGGCCTGGGGACACACCCAGGGCCTTGGCGGCCGCAGCAGGGATAGCCTCTGAAATGTCTGCACCTTGAACACAGCTCCTTGCTCCCAACCCAGCCAAGCCGCCAGCACCCCAAGGCATGAACCCCTTCACGGTCACATGACCGATTCAGGCCAGTTGGTCAAACTTAAAAACAACCACACAGAAAAGATAAAACACATTTTTAAATGGGGGAGAGCTTAGTCTACTATTTTATACTTTGGGAGGTGGGACTGTTCATATTTCATTTTGTAAACATTACTGGCAAATAAATGGGATGGTTTGGAGGTATAAAGAACCATAGAAAATTAATGCCAAGCATTAAGAATTTACACACATGTGCATATAAGGTGACCCTGGCAGAATGCTGTCCACAGGCCATCCCAAAATATCATTCCCCTGGACTTAGGGTCCTTTATCCTTTGCCCTCAGGGCCCTGAGCACAGTCAACGGGCTCTGACGTCTGGTTTCTGAATTCATGCCCAGCCTCTACCTCTCTATCTTGCCCGTGCCTCAATTGTCCTTTCCTTGTTCAAACTGAGACCGACGGCGGCAGATTTTCCAGGAAGATGGTGCAATCATCTTAGAAATCTGGGACATGCCAAGCAAGCCCACACTGGGGCCACCATCACCCACCCGCCAGCCGGGCAGGCGGAGAATCCTAGTGGTGCTGACGACAGTGTGAATTCCGCTGTTTGCTGGGCTGCACTTTGCAGGTCTCCACTGAAGCTGAACCTGTTCAAGCCTAGCGAGTCAGCCCTTCCCTCCCAGGTTTACAACCCCTGCGCAAACGCTCCCAGAAAGCACGCTGGGATGCGAACAGCAGCTTACCTGTGATTCCTGAAAGCCATAAATAAGCAACCTAAAGGTTCACTGACTGCAGCGTGAGTAAACAAGCTGCAGGGTATCCATGTGATGAATATCACACACCAATTAAATGACCAGCCCAGACGACTCTCAGGAGCATAAAACGTGGTGTCATGCATGAGGCTCCCCAACAGGCGAAAGCAAGCACCTTTGTTTAGAGATGTACACTGGGGCCTTAGGTGGTAAAGTTAAAAAAAGAGAAGTGAGGGCTTCTGGACACAGAGCCAGGAAGTGGCGTCCCGGGGGCAGGTGTGAGTGGGGAGGGCCTGCCGCGACTCTGGGGTCATTTCTTGACTGTGGTGGTGTTGGCTTTTAATGATTCATTAAGCCTCACAGATAGAGTGCTGTGCTCTTCGTGCGCTTCCTATTTCAGAATAAAAACAGCATAAAGACAGGGCTGCTGCCAGGCAGAAACAGAGCATCTCTTGCTTTTGGGAAAGTGGTTTCTGCGAGGGCACCTGCTTCTCTGAGGCCCCCCAGAGAACTGACCCCGGAGGACAGTCCGCCTCTCCCAGAGCTCCAGCCAGGCTGCTCCCTGTGAGCCGCTCTAAGGATGGCAGGCGCAGGGACAGCCGTGGACACGCAGCCTGACAGCCCCCGGCAGCTGGCAGGAAACAAGAGCAGAGAAGGGAAACCCACATCTGTAGGTGGCAAAGACCAGAGGCTTGGCGACACTAACGGCTAGCAGCCAGGAGTGTCTGCTGGCTGCAGGCAGACGGGGGCTGGGCTATTTTCATCTACCTGATGGGAAGGACTGCTTTGGAAGTGGGTGGCTCCTCCTCTTGGCCCGTCCCGCTCCTCAGAGAGCCCACCTCTGCCACTGCACACCCACCAGGTCTGTCGCCCAAAGGGCAGAAGGGCAGAGGCCAGTCTTCTGGCTCCTTCAGGGCTGCTGCCTTCCTCCCTGGGTCAACAGCTCTCATCATGTCCACAGAAGCCCGAGGATATTTTTTGCCCTGTGAGTGTCTTGGAAAATACAAGCCTACAAAGATTTGAGTTTTGCTCTTACACAGTGTGGGTTTTCAGTGCTCTGAACCCAGCTGGGCTGCAAAGTTGTCCTAATTGGCCTTGACATGGTCCTGATGTCGTGTGTCCTGGTGACTCTCCTTAGTGAGGGAGTGGAAGGGCCACCTGCCTCCAGGGGTGGATGGCCTTAGGCTCTGTGATGAGCTGGCCTCACACACAGAGACACTTAGCAAAGGAGAGGTGAGGAGTGTTTGTTCTGCCTGGCACAGCCTGCAGAGGCTGAACCCCTTCCCTGCCCTCCTGTGCCCTCCCAGAGCAGAGAGAATGGGTGGCGGCAATGCCTGGACACTGGTGGGGAAGTGAGGACAGGACACGGTGGGACCCTCAAGCATGCCCCCACCCAGGTCCCTGGGCGTTGCACTGTGTCTGTTGCAGATGGAACAGAACAGCAGGGACCTAGCCCAGCCCAGTCCAGAAGTACTCATTCTCCATGCATCCTGGTCCATGGCAGAGGGGGCACAGCCGGCTGGAGGGGAAGGAGGGCGCCTGCAATGGCAGTGTGCCTGTGATGGACGCAGCAGGCCATTCAGATGGACAGGGAGGGCTCCATGCCACTGGGCCTTCACCCTCCCATCCAGGGCTGACCCTGTGGAGCTTCAGTCCAGTCCTCACTCAACCATCTACCCAAAAGTGTCTTCTCGGTGAGGGAGAAGTGGGAACCCAACTCAGAAGGGTACTAGTCCTAAGGATCCACAAAAGACAAAAGAAAATGCAACTTCTGGGTGTTTTGGCTCTACACCAGAGCAAAATCTAGGCACATGTGCATTCCATGCCAATAATAAAGCAGGGTCAGAACAGAACATGGGTCCAAGCCTGCAGCCATGCCAAGCTGTTCTTTCACACCTCTGCCTGTTAGAAATTTCATCATAAATTCCCTTTCTCTGAAACTAGGTCACAACACTTCTCTTCCAGCTTCAAAGGGACCTTGACCAGACCAACAAACCAACATCAGTCCACAGTTCCCTTTGAACTTGAGGCAGGCTGTGACTCTCTGCTGGCCTGGTGCTGCAGAACCACACATGTCAAATAAAATGATGTCCTTTGATCAACTACAGCTACACATAAAAGCTGACAGAACTTAGCTTTTATTGTGGCATGTGAGGCTCATGAGAGCCTAATGTAGTCTCCCTCATCAATAACAAGGGTAAGAGTTTTCTAAACCCACAATTTGCTTTTGAAATTTAAGTACATAACAAAAAGTCAGGTGAAAGTTGAGCAGGGATGAGTGAATGGCAAGCAAGAGGAAACATGTGCATTTGGCCTGAGGGCACATGCCAATATCAGCAGTGCCATGGATAGGGGACGACCTCCAGGCCAACAGAACGGGGGCGCTGCAACCCGAGATCCCCACATTAGAGCAAGGAAACCTCTTCGGCACTGGGGGACAGCATACCATTCCCAGGAACTCTTAGGATTCCCACAGATGAACATCACCAAGTAGGAGCTCAAAAAGATCACAAAAACATAAGGAAACATGAGTGATGGACAAGAAGGCAGGGAGGGGAAAAGGGTGGGGAAGAGACTCTGCCCCTAAGGACTTTCTGTACTGGAATCATCAGATATGGAATATAAGCCAACTGTGTAGGAGATCAAAGACACAAAAGACAGAGTCACGAAAACTAGGAAAAACTACGCTCAAACACACCCAGGAATAACTGAGAAAAATAAAAAACAGAACTGCCAGATATAAAGAAAATGTAATTGGTGGAAAAAAAAAATCAGCGGATGAATTTGGCAGCAGATGAGACACAGCTGAAGTGAAAATGAGCAAGGTGGGAGACCAACCCGGATACTGCAGGGCACAGCCAACAGAAAACAAGCAAAGGCAACAGAAAATGAGAAAGAATAGAGAGGATGAACTGAGGAGGTCCAGCATGTTTGATAGGAATCCCTAAAGGAAGAAATGCTGAGAAAGGAGGAGAGTAATAGTTGTAGAAAACATAGCTGATGTTTTCCAGAACTGATAAAAGAAAAGAGCCCATGGTTGTAAAAGCACAGATACATGATCACCAATCACTTAGCTTTGTATACATCATCTTGTTCATGTCCATAAAA